TGTTTTATATCACAGATTGAATTGAAAAAAATTTAAAGTTATCGATAAACTTTTTCCAGAATGATGACAAGTGTGTTGTGACATCGAGTGCATCCCGGATCATCTCTGTGGATCACAACATCGCACAAGGAAAGTGTAACGCACGTGTATTACACGTGAACGCCGTTCGATTCGAACTGCGTTCCATTTTCGATCGAACTGATATACAAGTCGATGTCCGTTGTAGAGCCGTCGTAGCAAATAAATAATGCGCTTGGGGAGAAACTTCAAAATGTGTCCTTATGTATTTTAATTTATAAAAAAAACTCACAAAAAAAACTGAATATTTTTTTATAAATGCAATATGAATAATGATTTTTCTTTATAATTATGTAAGCGTTTGTTAATTTTATTTATATCAATAACTAAAATTTAAATATACATTATATTTATAAGTAGGTACATAGGTATAACAATTGTATTGATAAGTTATATAAGTAAATACATAAATACATAATATTACTTATAACTTATGAGTAACAATTAAATGGGACATTTTTCTCTTTTGTGCCCTCCCAGGAATCGCGCCAGGGGCGCAGGCACTGCTAGCCCCCCCCCCTTGCTACGGCACCTATCCAGAGTGTCTCTGAGTGTTGCGCCGAGGCGCGTTCGAAAGTGCATCGAGATTGATTTCGCTACATTTCACCGCGATCGCGGTCTCGGGGGTGCAATTGTTTGATTTATTTTCTTCGTGCCGCCGACGGTGATCGATACGCGAGGATGTAAGGAAAGGAGTAGGGAGGTTTGTGTGCGCGAAAAGGACCCGCGAACTATACCATTAACCGGGTTTCGCAGAAGAATATACCGTACATGGTTGTGTACAAACGTATAGTTCGCACGTGGATCTCAGCAATCATTGCGTCGGCTTAGCACGTCGATTCAACAGCTGTTTTGGATTCAAACACGTACATTTTTTTTTTTTTTATACGTTTACATATACGTAACGTAAACATGAAATGGGTGAAAAACAATGTCGTCCGGAACTCGTGTACGATTCGGAAACCGTACGAGAAATATTTTATCGATCGACGTACGTATTTGGGTATATTTGATTTTCGGGAAACTTTTTTTTTTTTTTTTGTAAACGGTTCATTTCGGTTGCAATTAGCACGTGCATTACTTGGCAATTATGCGCCACGCATATTATTAATACTGAACACGCTGCGCATTGGTTTAACGAACAATGATGATAATTAGTTTCAAATCGGTTCAACGTGACCGTCAGTACAAAAAATTGCTTTCAAGTAAAATTAATGCCATGGGATTTTATCTATTGGTTGTAAAACCGTTTTACACACACGATTCGAATGAATCGTAAAATAAAAAAAATAAAAATATATGGTTTGATAAATACGATAAATACGATATCTTAGGATAAAACCTTAAGTTTATTTTCTAGGAGACGAGGGACCTGATTATTTCGACAATAGACGTAAACGCCATAGGAAAGCGAATATATTGTCTCTTTTTTTCTGCTTTACTTGAATTGATTATTTTTATTTGTAATGAATCAGTGAATAATTAATACGCGATTCTGTTCATTATGAGTTTTTATTTTGGTTCTACGATAGAATATAGTTTAGTTTTGAGCTTAAATCGACATAATTTATTAATTTAATCCCAATAAATCGAAACGGAACGGATGATGTTTGAACTTTAACAGTACAGTAATGATGTTTAAACTTTTACGATTCGTGTGTGTAGTCAGTTGCCAATTTATGTTTATTAATACACCTGCGAGTTATGCCCATTATTCATACTTAGGAACTATCGCGAAACTTTCTTGCGGAAATGACATGGTATTTATAATAATAGCAATTGTATACATTATATTTAAATGGTATGTAATCGGTCAAAATAGCAATCTTAGTTCCAATTTTTATCATTTGAAGTGCTGTTTGTACTAGAGGAATTTATACGCTCAAATGTAATTATTTTCGACGGGCGTAAAAAAGTTAATAATTCAATAAATAAAAAACTAAATGTAAATAGTTTTTTTTGGGGGGTATTAGCCTTAATCGTGTTCAAATAGCTTTGTATTTTGGTGTTTTAATCAAGAAAAGTCCCCAAAAATTGTAAATAATGCTACGAAATAAAGAAAACAACACCACATTTTGTTTGCGCATTTGAATTACTATGGTCGCCATATTCTTGTACTTCTTTTCTTAAATTATAAAATATATTATTATAATAAAACAAATTATTCTGTTTAAAGCTTTGATATTCTATTTTGTGCAAAACAATAAAACGTATTTATTCAAAATATCCTTACACCATACAAAACAAGTCCTGATTAAAAAGTATTTATGTTTTTGTTTCAAAGATTATAAATTTTTATACCGAAAATTATCTGTATACGACTTGAACAGGATTTGTGTAATACGTGACTTTGAACTGCTATGTCGTTTTTTCCGTCGATTTTTAATCCCAATGATATTACACTCGTACATAATTTTATATTTCTATTCAACAAAAATCGGTTGGTGGCATTAATATTATTATACTCATATGTTATGCGTCCATTGTGTGTAAATCAATTTATTCGAACGCACCAAAACTCGGTCCTTCAATTGTACACAATATATTATGTCATATTCGGTCCACTGTTTCTGTTTATTTAATGCGCCACACTGTGTGATTAATGACATAAAAATCGATCGATTCCGTTACTAACCAAGATGATGTTTTCAATTATCCAATGGAGTTTTTATTTTGCTGGAATTGCCTGGATTACAACTTCATAATTCGCAATTAAAAATCGGATCGGTAATCATTATGTTGCGGGATATAAACAATCTACGTCCTTATAATGGCACCCGACTTGCGGTGAAGAAATTAATGAACAACGTCATCGAAGCCACAATTTCGAAAATGGAGTACAAAGGCGAAGACATTTTGATTCCACGGATTCCTTTGATTCCGAACGACATGACATTCGACTTAAAACGGTTGCAATTTCCAGTGCGGCTAACATTTGCAATGTCGATAAATAAATTTCAAGGGCGGTCACTAAGTTTCTGTGGCATTAATCTTAAAAACCCATGTTTTTCACATGGCTAGTTATATGTCGCCTGTTTCCGTGTCGGAATACCAACAAAACTATTTATATACGCGCAAGAAAAATAAACTAAGAAAGTTTTATATCATAAAGCATTAGAATAATAAGCACTTAATTTGAAATATTTTTTTTATTGATTATACCAATTCAAATTCCATATTCTTAATTAATACAGGACAACATCTGTCGAGTCAGCTAGTATGTATATATATACATATTATGTTGATATTAACGGTAGCTGGTCTGTTGATGGTAATGTTTTGTATACGGTCCACACGGACAAATCGGTGCAATAATGTAATGACAGACGAGACGAGCGTTCATAATTATTTCCGTTTAATAATTGCAATTATAATGCGGATGGTCTATCGAAATGCGGGGCCGAGAATATTGTGTAAGACTTTTAGAACTAAGAATTTGTTAGGTCAAATCTTTTTTCCCGCACATTCATCGTTACATCATCATGATATTGTGTTTCAATCACGACAAAAAGGTTTCCACTGCATTCTTTACACTTCTCTCGTCACAATACGATTATGTTCGAATACCACTTACCGAGCTGAAAACAAATTTGGTATATTTACACTAGTAGTGGTGCTCACGAGATCATCGCTATGCCGATTTTACGTATCCGAATTGTCTTAGCAATTGTCTCCACTCCCCCTATTCGATCTCTTGCCCGAACAAAAATTCCGTTCACGTCACTGATTTTGGTAATGTACAAAGAACACTTCACTGACAAAAATAGAAATCTGATTCAAGCAGCACTATAAACGTTACTTTTTCATATTATTTATAAGCAATTCGTTGCATAAGCAGGTAGATTGTATTTATTTTTTTTACATTGGCAAAATTGCCACGGTGGTGATAATATCGATATTCTAGCATACATAATTTACTGTGTATAAAAAAATTAAAAAAAAATTAAATAAAATCAATAATAATTTAAGCCTTCTTAGTAACCCTTATCTTAAGTATAATCTGATATAAATATTTAAATGGTTCTCCTTACGTATTATGCAAATGAAAAGTAAAAAAAAATCTTTTACATATTTTTTTTTTAGTTCCATGTTACTAATAAGTATTGTATAGGTGCTTAACTAGAATCATAGCCAAGAATAAATGATTCAAATAGTATTGTAGAATATTATTATATAACTATTTTATATTGTGTAAAGATTTTAATTGCTAAAAAATGGTTAAATCTTAGACTGATGGTATAATCTAACAAACTTTATACGTGGTTTTTATAACATCATTAGAGAGCAATGTTATTTTATACATAAGACGTAAAATATAAAAAAACACTTAATAGGTAGATAATTTGAAAACTTTTTCAAAGTTAAAATACTTTGACCAATTTAAGTTTGACTAAATAATGTATATTATATTAAAACCTATTACGAATATTAACAAAAAAAAAAAAATATTGTGTTTTTTTCTGCCTTAATAAATAGTATATTAAACCGAAACTATATTGATATTTTAAAATGTTCTAAACGAAATATTTTAATTATGCGTGCCGTAAACTTTTATAAAATCAAAAAGCTATAAAAAGAAACATGTTTAAAAACCATAACAAAATACCTAATTGGATAATTTTTTTTTTTTTTTAATTGTAAGTATTTATAGTTGTTTAAGATAGCTAAATATCAAAAAATATATTATTTACCTATAACTATTATCTACGTTATTCCTACCAAACATAAAAATGTTATAGTTGCCGAATTCAATTGAAAACTGAGGTTAACATTTTCACTCTATTCGAGTTGATCGATAAACATATTTACACAACATGTTTCCTGGATAATAATTATTACTGTATCGTTTTAAGCATTAATTTAGACCATTAAATAATCAAAAATGCCTATTAGTAGCTGGAATAATTTTAAAATATTTTCAGGTGGACTTTGGTACTGTCTTCCATTTATTTTCATCGACAGAGCCGTTGAAGACCATAACACTCGAAGTCAGTGGTCCAGATCTATTACGAGTGTCGGTAAACACGAAAGAGTCGAACAGGTCGGTACTGATCGCTGCAGTTTTAGCTGATGGAATCACTCATCAATTAGGATTGGGGTATGTTTGTTAAATTATATCAAAATATGAACATTATTTTCTGCTAATAATGGTTTCGACTAAATGAGAGTCGTATACTATTCATTTATTGTTTTTTTTTTTTAAGTAAAATACAAGTAGTGTACTTTTACGATTTCAAATGAAACAATGATAGTTTAAGAATCTAAAAACTTCAACTTTAGTGTTAAATGAAAATAAAAAATACTAATTGTTTTTATTTTTTTATTTTATAAAACTATTGGTTGTACTATTAGTATATGAACATATTATTAATGTATTGTTATAAAAAAATTACATTATAACAACTGAAAAAAATATGAAATAGTTACACTGATTTTAACATATCAATAGTAAAACACATAATGTTATTATGTGATTTTAGATTTCAAAAAGACGAAATCATAACTTATTTGGACTGTAGATGGGTCACGACTGAGACTTTAATGCAAAATTCATACGCATCGTCTCCAGAATACGACATGGACGTCTTCGAAGAATCGTTAACGGTAAATTTTATATCAAATAAACTACAATAATATTATCAATCGCATATAATATATATATGTATATTTCAAATATTCTAGATTTATTAAATCATAATATATACGTAAATATGGTTTATCAATATTTTATTGAAATTCCATATATATTTTATAGAATAATATAATGTTTCTATAAAATTCTTTATGACATCCCATTAGGTAATGAAAAACACACAACCTCGTGGTTATATAATTTTATTATTTATTTTTATCATTTTTTATGAACGATTTATAGTTTGTAATTTTGTATTAAAATTTAATGTATAAATATATTTGTTCTAGAATATTTTAGCATTCTATAATATTCTTTATGTCGTCCCAATTATTATTTAGAACACTCAACTATATGCCTTAATAAAAAATTTTTTTTCTACCATTTTTGATATATGAGATATAGCGAGTAAGTAATACTACAAGATTATTAGTGAACATATATTTCAAATAATTTAGTAAATGCATTTGCCTGAAGTAAATGAAACTTTTACACGAATTTATGTGATAATTATCCAAAACCAACTTCGTCACATTATTATTTAAGTACCTATCTACACATAGTCGTATTGTAGTGTGCATCTGGATAGTTGGAAAACCTTTTATAGTTTTTAAACTGTGTGAGAATTAAACGTTTAAACGTTTCCAAATTTTTAGATACATGAATAACGTGATACTTGTTATGAGTTTAAAAACCGTTGGTTTTTATTGGCAATACGTACTATATTTACATATAGTTTTAGAATATATAAACATTAAAATTGGAAGTAATGATTTTTCATCTTTGTCAATCAGTCGCTTAACTTGGAAATTTGGATGTATTCTCACTCAAACGTACCAATGGATCTAGTGATATGATTAGGAATAAAAAAACAAATTATTTAACAGAAAGAAGCGTCTAGTATAATTTTAATAGATTTTTTCAGTTTTTTTTTTTATTTCAATTCCTGAACTCTACAATGTAGAATTAAACACATTAAATACCTTAAAATCAATAATACTTAAATTATTGATATCGAAGGTACAACATTTAATTAGTGTGGGAAGTTGATTTGACGAAGATCCGACGAAATTTTAAAATCTGTTTTTTATTTTCACAACTTTAGATTATTTGATCACTAATTCAATTAGTACGTTGAAGTGAAAATCGATCTAAATTTTCAAGTTGCGTATGTAATGGCCAGAGACGAAAAATCACGGCTTCCGATCTCCTTAACGCAGTGTAAAAACACCTTATTTAAAACTGTGGAAACAATTAATAGTCCCATAAAATATTGTAATATGTCGTATACTTAACGTATGGGGTGCAAATCGATTTCAAGTTTTCAGTGCAGCTGTGCATTTGACTCTAAGCTGTATCAGCCGTACATAAAACAATTAAAAATATAATTTCAGCTGAAAGGTATTTATTTTGAATCGCAACAATGGTTTAAGATGTAGAGTCTTACCACGCCAGCTGATAATGATGTTGAATGAACGTCGCAGAACTTTTATGTAGTTCAATTACAACGTAAAGCACGCTGCTGGAAATCGTATTATGTTAATGCTCGTATTTCAATAAGTCTTAACTTTTAGAAGATACTTTGAGAACGCTGAATTTCATAACAAAAGCTAAAATGTGACTTATGAAGCGTAATTGAAATCTTGATATTGTAAAGCGCATTACGTATAGATGCGCTAAGCGAATTATTTTAGCTAAACAAGAATTATTACATTTCAAAACGCATAAATTAATAATAAATTATCCGTCTTAATAGCCCTTACCAAACAGTTGTAGTATAGTATAAAAGATTCACCAGTTGAACTATCTTGGCGCAATACTTTGTAGCATTTTGTTTTAAGAAATATGTAAATTTATTTTTGACCACCAGTTGGCTTTACCAGAACCGACAAAAATCGTGAAATGAGAATTTTCCCTTTCCAGTAATATTTTATTAATTTCAATTTTATCCGTAAAAAATAGTGTAACATATTTAATGTAAATTCACTTAGATCGATTGAACTAGTTTAGTGTTATAATTCAACATTTCTTTATAGTAAAATCTCTTATTTTGGGAAAAGCAAAGTATTTCGAGTTATAATTTATATTGTTGCAAAGTTTTAAACCGCACACAGAATATTTTTCTCAGTAGTTTATTCCAGTGTTTCTCAACATTTTGTTTTTATAATACGGCCTTTTTAATTAAATCTAAAATTGTTATGGCCTTCTAAAGGTCTAAGGTTAGACATTTCTTCCATCAAAATCGTTAAAATATTGGGAAATTTTTGTTTTTTGTTCTTAACCGTACACATATACAATAATTAAATTATTGTTTATACACGTATTATTTCACGACACTTTAGCCCATAATGTAATAATGGCCCCGTAGAAGGCTGTGGCTACCACTTTAAGAAGCACTGATTTGACCAGATTTATCGATTCATAGATTACATTGTTTGGATGATTTTGTAGCTACCGTTATTCACACCAATGAAAAAAGGTTTACAACCCTGTAGAAAATGTTTAAATTGCTATTTTATGATATACTATTTTGCAGTACTACCGTAGTGAACATGTGCTACAATAATAACTTCACGGAGCTGTAATAAAACTATAGAATTGTTTCGTTTTAAAGCGGCAAGTGTTGATTTATCGGTGTTAATATTTTATACGTGCGAGATGACCGTACTTACATTGAAGTCGACGAGCATTTTTACTATAGTGATAATATGATCTCAAAATACGTACTATTTTTACATAATGAATACATTTATTTTTTTTTTTTAGTATGTTTCGTCGGTACCTATATACTAATCAAGCAGTAAATGATAGTGTTTTGTAATAATATTTTTATTTCCTTTTACGGTTTTCCTTGTAATTATAACTTAAATTTTACACCCATGTGTAAACGACTATAACTTTAAATCGGCGATTATTTTCTCTGAGTGTTATAAATTTCCTATTTTATTGCTCATTAATTCATTGTAAATACATCGCGTGTACGACATGTTGTAAATAAATTAATGCTTTCTTCAACGCAGCTCCCTTATACACCAGGTCTTCCTACGTCTGGGTCCCGTTGAACAATTTGACTTGTAATCATATGCGATTGATGGATTAGTGAAAACGTCTTGACCGTCGACATAATTGAATTTCACTAATATTTCCGGGGCCGTTGGTTAATGTTCGTTGATCGTTTCATATAATTATATTCATTCATATAGAATTGCTACAATGTGTTTCACAAGTTCTGCACTGTCCTTAAAGTAATTATCATATTTACTTTAGAAGACGAATATTTTAGCAATCGACTTTTCGATTGAAACGAATCTTTGAAAATATCTGTTGACTTATGATAAAAAAATTCCTAGCTGAAAATAGATGTTTATTTTTATGTCAAGTTAGGTTACTATAGGCAAACAATAAAAGATAAATTATAACCGTTGTTTTATTAATCCAATTGTAAATCATCCGATATTTATTGATATTAGAGGAACAACAGGTAACTGCTATTCTTTTTCATTCAGTGAGAGCAACCTATATTAAATATATTTTTGAATTACTTGGTAAAAGAAAACCACCTAAATGGTAAACTAGACCTTGAACTTAAAATGTTGTATATAACCTGCATATGATAACGAATAAAAAAAAATTAATAAATAAAAATTTAATTCAAATCAGTGAAGCCATTCTTAAATTATTTTCTTACATATATGGGATAATTCATTTTTGTATTTATATAGATGAAATTTATCAAGTACGTCTAGTTCCATTCATAATTCATAGAACTTATGACAATCACAGTCAAACTATATGTGTTTGAATGAATTTCCAGAGATATGTTATACGGTATGCATATGTACAAGTGTTTGCGATGCATCCAGTCTGATTATGAATAGGATGTATTTATTCCACTATGTTTTTGTGTGTTTTTTTTCTCTTGTATCTGTACATTTATTTTTAGTATCCGGTAATGAAAATATTCTAATTTTAATATTTGAATTTTGAAAGATAAATTTTAACATGCTGGCTATAATTTCCCATTGTTTTTTGTCCAATCCCGTACATATTTTTGGTAATGCTAATGTACAAATTTTGTTTTCTATACAAAATTGTCTAGTATTTATTAAAGTATTAAATATGTTTAAGTAGGTGGG